ACCTCTCAAGTTTGGATGAAGTAAAGCACAGGAACTGCAATGCTTCGGTGACTTACGATTTTAGCTCCTTGAAACAGGTTGAAAATATCAGGTTTTCCAGGGGAATGCCAATCAGATAAAGGATGCTTACAGTATTGTTTAACAGTTGCGAGGTGGATTTTAAAACGTGCTATTATGACATCAGTGACCGTGCAGAAATTTACATATAAGCCTCAACAAATGAGCACTACCCCTCATTTTGGCACAACAGCTAGAGATCAGGTCCCTGTACTGGTTGTAGGACACTCCAGTTTATCAGAGGATTTTGCATGCCAACGTAGTACCTGTCGTTAATGAGAATCAGCATTTCATCTGTAAACAACAAAACCACAAGGAAGAAGGGTAAGGAGAAATGAAAAGTTTGCAAATTTATGTAAAAAAAGGGTGGGGGAGTAGATTTCAGTCTTATCAGAGGCCAAATACACTGCTGTTACAGCTACTGGGGGGCACGGGGAGAACCGCTCTGAGGTGGAAAACATTCTAAATGATCCCATGAAATCTTAATTGCTAGGTTCCTATCTGAAAAATATGATCTCCTTTTTTATCTTGTCTTGCAAGGTTCTTGTTGCCCCCAGTTCACAGCATCTCATCAACAGATGCTGGAGTAATCTCAATCCAACAAATTACAATTAAACAGCAATACTTAACAATTAACATAATACCTCTAACCCAGATCAAAGATAACATTAGTGTTCCAAAACGCCAATATGGGATGAGTTTTTGGTTTCAGGAAGCAGCTGATACTAAAATATGTATTGCTTACTGAGAATTGCTACCTGAAAGTACACTTTTAGAATTTTCCTTAAAAACCCATATACATAACTCTTCTTTTAGAACCTTCTGTCTTTAATTCCTCACACGATCATCAAGGAATCAGGTGATAAGTCTCAGTTATCACTGTATTTTCTTATTGGCATTTTCCAAATATACTTCAAATGCCATCTGGGGAAAAAAAGGGGGGGGTAGGACCCTAATGCTTTTGACCTTCATCTTGCTGGTACCTTGTAAACCAGAAAATATTTTTCTGGTGTGTGAGTTTGAATCAAATATGAAGAGTGTGAGTTTGAATCAAATATGAAGTCAATCCTGAACAAGTGATATGTATTTCCTATAAAGCTCAACCATTCTCGTGTGGCACAATTTTGGTTTCCTGATAAAAACCTATGTCGAATATTTAATTCACAGTTCTCTCTTCTCTCCCCAACAACATTGGAACTGGCATTTCTGTAACACACGCACAAGCCAACCGCAGCTTTGCTATTTACTGCCTCTGAGGCATGGGCAAGCATAGAACCTCCTTAAACATGACCTGTAAAATGGGTAGAATACACCCCCTGCACATCTGTTGTCAAGGTTAGAGACAGGTAAATCAAGTGCCTTGGCACACAGTAGGCATTCAATTAACGACTCATGTTATTGTCATTTAAGGAGGGAAAGGGAGAAAGCAATAATTGCCTTGCCTCCCAGAACTGGTCACATTACCCCAACAATAGTTTCTTAATTTAAAATGAGGAAGTTTGACCAGATGGTCTCTTAAGCCCCTTTCAACTTGAACAGTAAGTCCCTAGAATCACCTTTCAGTTTAACTGCACACTGATAGACGTTTTTCCAGTTATCTTAACTTGGGAGGACTTAATGAACAAAAATGGTGAATTTACCAAGTTGATGAATTTACACTCAGGATAACTTTTCTCGTTTCCAACAAGGTTACTTACTGAAGATGAAAAAAAAAATAAGATTTCATGTTAATTTATTGCTAGCTTCTTGGTGTCTTATTCTAACATCACAGATCAGAATAATTTTAAAGCTGCATTTGTCGATTTTTTTTCCACCTGCAATTTCTCATTTCCAGGACATTATTTCTTAGATTTTTCTGTTTAAAAATTCAAAAACATCTAAAACCCCCCAAATACCTACATGATCATTAAAAAGGTTAAACAAAGGAAACCCTCATCCCCACCCCTGTCCCAAACTGCACCAGTTTAAAATAACATTTTTAAAATCAGTTCCTATTCCTATTTTCATTATGCTTTGCTGCAAACGATATTCTATAGCAACACAGAGACAACAAAACATTAGTAGTTAAGATTATTTAAAAGGTCTATTTCCATTTACAGTTTCGACCCTGAATGCTTAAAAAACCAAGACTCTGAAGCATATGTCCTCACGTTTCAGACCCACTGCAGAGCCTCACATGATCTGGTCTCTTTAAACACTGGATGGCTTGTGGGGCCACCAAACATAATAATTCATCTCAAAAGGTATTTGTTCATCTGCCTTGAGGACTCAAACATATTACATCTTGCAAACTTATGTAATATATTCTTGTGGGAGAACACCACTGAAAATATGTCCTACTGCTTTAGAAAAATCAACACCAGAAAAGCCCCTATGCTTTATTTAAGTTCCTTTTAGGAATAGGCCAACATCTAGCCGACTGCAATTTAGTCCAAATGGCAATATACCATATGTGACAACCAGTCCCCAACACAATAAATCTGCACAGCTATCTTCCCAACTGCATGCATATGGCAATCAGATACACTGCTAGGTGGGTTTCAAACATTTTCAGCTTGTCATATGCCCTCCCACACAACTCCGTTCCCCAAAGATAGTCTCCAATGTGAGTTAATTATGAACTATTTTGGAAAACATGCTACAGTACTCTCGGGGCTAAGAAGACAGAATAGTTATCTTGGAAACAAATATTTACAAATCCTCTTTCTTTTTTTAAAACAGTTCAATTAAGCAATAGTTGACAGCACTGAAAACAATGAGAGTTTGGTTCCAAAAGATACCGTCTGGAAATAACTAGTATCTGGAAGAGAAGTAGGGTAGAAGTTATGGTAAGGTTTGCATAGGAGACTCTGTGGCTGAGATACAAAGGCTCTATTCAGAGCAAACAGTTTGAAAAAGCCACATTCATCCACCAAATGAAAAGGACGAATTAAACTTTCATAATTCATAATTTAACTGAGAAGCGTCAGCATCTTTCGGAGACCATTAACATATTAAATTCACAGAGCATTCATTAGATGTATATGGTCACCTAAGTAGCAAGTGACCATAAATTCACAAGCATGATCAAGACAATTCTTTTCCCCCCACACTCCTCTAGAGAGCAGAAAACACAAAACTTTCAATAGCAAAGGTGCAAACAAGTATTATGTATCTATACAGATACATATATATATACCTTGAATATATATATATATATTTTTTTTAAGGGGGACAGGACAAGATCTTATAAAACATGTATCATGGGAACGTCACTAATCAAGATAAATTTCCCAGAGAAAACTGCCAAAAGGAAATTCAATATTTTAATTTACGTTATCTGATTATCTTAGTTGGGACAATGAACCAGAGCGAGTGTACAAGCAAGTTAACATTCTTCATATCGACTGGAAGGACAACTGCACTTAAGAGATTCTATCATACCCATCCCCCCACTTTTTTTTTTTTTTTTTTAATCCTAGGGGCTCAAATAATTAGCCACTGCGGAGTTTCTCAAAAATCTCTCAAACTGGGCGCCTGGGTGGCTCAGTCGTTAGGCCTCTGCCTTCGGCTCAGGTCATGATCCCAGGGTCCTGGGATCGAGTCCCACATCAGGCTCCCTCCTGGAGAGGAAGCCTGCTTCTTCCTCTCCCACTCCCGCTGCTTGTGTTCCTGCTCTCGCTATCTCTGTCTCTGTCAAATAAATAAATAAAATCTTAAAAAAAAAAAATCTCTCAAACTCATAACACTTAACATGCTAGAAAATGAATCTAGCACCATAGGGGAAAGTTAGTTGCCAGAGAAATGGATCATAAAGCTCTGAATGGCCTACAAATTGCAAAGGGTACAGTAAGGTGCCAGAAAGAATATGGATGTGAAATCGTACAGTGGGTAGAAGAGGAAACATTTTATATATACTCTTACCAGGGATAACAGTCCTTTTCTTTTTTCCCCACTAGATTAACTGCAGCCTAGATTCACTAGCAGATGTCTTGCCTGGTAAGAGAGAATTTTATACATTCCAAGTCTAAAATGGACACAGATCTTTCAGACCCGCTCTGGCAACCCCTTTAGGTTTCTTTTTCATAACACGACTGAATACGAGTGGATACTATTGGCTCGATAGCGCCTGAGCTGATAAGAGAAACTTTCCTGTCAAGACTAACGAGCCAGATAAAAATTAGATCTACTTTCCTCAGAAATCCCAGCTCTTTACTTCTCCCAATAAACTCTCCACCCTAGTTTGACATGTAAAACCACCAGGATCACATTAATTATTAAATTATAGACCGCATATCAGACAAACCACCATGATTACGTAAAAATTACCTCTAATTTCTGCAACAGAGTACACCGGGCTATTTTAATGCCTTATAATTATCCACCCCCTCCCCCCCACCTTTTTTTTTTTTTTTTTTCCTCTTCTCTCCTTCCACTCTCCCACCACCGGAAAGGAATCTTTGCAAATGTAAGTCAGAGGAGCGGGTAATTTGGTAAGAAGGGATCTTTAAATGGGCCACGAGAGCTCCATCAGACCCGCATTTCAAATGACACGAGCGTGCACGCGCACCCCGCCCCGGGACGCCGCGCCCCGCTCGCCGGTCCCCGCCGGCCGGACCCCCGGACCCCACATCAGGCTCGCCGGTCCTCACCTGGTCCCCCGCTCGCCGGTCCCCCGCCGGGAACCCACGCCCAGCCGGTGCCGGTCCCCGCCCCGACCCCGATCCCCGCGCCCCGCTCGCCGGTCCCCACCCCGACCCCAATCCCCGCACCGCTCGGCGCAGCACGTCCGGACACTCGCCCCGCTCCCCGCGCCGCCTCCGAGACCTAGGGGAGGCGGCAGCTCCGGAGCCGCCACCGCCCGCTCTCGCCCTACTCGGGGCTCCGGGAAGGAGACCTGCGGCAGCCGCCGGGCCGAGGGCGCGGGGAGAGCGGCCACGCGTGCCCCGCGGGCTCACACTTACATTCTGTCGGGAACTAGCAGGCGGCCCTCGACCATCATGTCCGGGAGGAAATCCAGCTTGAAGGCAGAAGTCATGTTCTCGGCGCGCGCTCTGCGCTCGGGCGGCGGGGGGCGGCTGTGCGCGCGTCCGAGCGGCCGCGGGCGGCGCGAGACGGGCAGGGACAGGTGCGCGCGGCCTCCCGGCGGCGGCCGCCCGAGCCGGCACTTGTCACATTCTCTCCCCTCCCGCTCTCCGCCAATCCCCTCCGAAATCCAGCGCCCCGGCGACGGTCTGCGGAGCGCCAGGTGCGGCGAGCGGAGGCGGAGCTCCGCGCCCGCCGCGCCGCCGCTTAACCCCTGCGGGCCCGCTCGCCCGCCCGGCCCCCGGAGGGAGGGACCCGCCCGAGGCCGGCGGCGGGGGAAGCTGAGCTCACCAGCTTTAAAAATAGCCAGACTTTCCTAGGGTCCCCAGCCTCCGGAAACGCAAACTAGTTCACCACGCTGACTCGGTCCAGTTCCACTCAATTCCCTATTTCCACGGCGCCTGGCACGAGGCCCGAATAACCGCTGTAGTAGATTTAGTGCCACTGTATTGCCAAAGCCTTAGTTCACATGCCGGTCAAAACCCAACTCCCAAGCCGAAGAGAAACGGAACCCTCAGGAGTTTTTGCTGAAAACGCTTTTCTGCGCGATCTGCTCGCCAGTGGATGAACTAACAGTAATAACTGATACAGCATTCGTGGGTTAGCCCAAGCAAATATCAGATAAATGGCCCAAGTGACATTTAGGGACTTATCTCAATGCTTTAAGGACAAAGATGACTCCATCTCCACACAATTACATTTCCTTTGTATTCTCTCGAAAAACGAATTAGTTAGGATAAGGGACTGAAAATGTGAATCACAGTAATCATGTTTTCTTTTAAGGAGAAATCCAATCTGTCATTTTCTAGTATTTAATAAAACGACCGAAAACCAACTTTGAGTTTATTGAAAGGCTGTGAGATCTATAACGTAGTGGACATGAAGCTTAACACCCTTTAAGATTTGTGACTATTTACTAATAGGGCTTGAGGAAAATGGCGAAAATCTCACAAATGAATAGAAGCAGGGAGTTTAATTTTCCCAAGTGATTTGCAAAATTCTTGAAAGGTTAAGTAAGTGGTGGGGCATGCTCATTCACTGTTGTCATTGTTTTGTTGTTTGGTTATTAGGATGAAACCAAACTTTTCACAATGTCACAAGTACGTAAAACTCCTATCTCATGTGCTAAAGCGTCATTAATTGCATACCAGAAGTTTACAGTTTGCCTCTTTTTTGGTCATCACTTCTATTTCGTAATGACATCACACCTGGCGATGTAGTCATGGTAACCAGGGAATTAAACAAGTAAGTCACGTGTGTAGTCAAATATATCAGGTGTGAGATGTATCAGACACCATAATATGGAGAAAAGATCTTTTCTCACCAACTTCTTGTGTGATATGAGAACTGACCATCTTTGGAGATTATGAAGGAAAAGAAGTATTTATATACCAATTTTAAATCCAGGCTTGATGGATTGAGCACTATGAAGTAACAGGACTGGAGTATTCAATTAAGTCCATACATCCTTAATGGACTTGATTTCTTTCTTCAGCTGAACAATATATCTGGCTTTGACGAACATAGTTCTAATTCCAAGACCAATGTAGGGCTAGGACTAACCTTCATTTGAAAATATTGTCTTTCTGAGGAACGAGGTCTAGGTTCATAAGGAATTGAAAAACAGATGCAATAAAATGAATTCTTAGATCCAAATACCCAAACTTTTCCTGATGGCACTAATTTCCATTTATTCCCTATTCTTGCTACTCTAGGCTGCCTTCGAAATTATAAGAATTTTGTTGGTCTTTCAATAATCTTAATAAAGTAATTAACTGGATAAATGAGACCAACCTTGTCAGTTCTTGGTTTTCATGTATTATTTATATAAATCCCAAATGTATATAATGAGCTGACCGTATAACAAATTTATTTTAAGAATGAACAGAACTGGCCTCCAGAACAGAAGCAAAACATAACCGCATTAATCAAAGAGAGAAAGATTTCCAAATCAGCTGTGGAATAAAGCTACATATCTACATTCTGTAAGGTAGAAAAAGCTTCATTAACATGTACACTTCTGAAATATTTATTTTCTCTTTAATTGCATGTGAATTAGTTGGGAGAAGCTGCAGGGAAGCCCTCTTACTGACTTAAGCCTTCTCAGCAGTTTGTTAAATTCTAGCCTCAAATCCCTTGAGGCAATAGTGGATTCAAAGCAGCTTTTAATCATACTATAAGGAGGGTGAAGTAGTATGTAAGTAGGTCATAGAGAAAGAATTACAAGTGCATAGGTTATTGCCTTATTTAACAACTACAGCGTACCCGAGTTTTCAAAGCACATTTGCTTTTGCCATTTACAGTTCGAAAGAAAACCAGGGTCAAATACAAAAAGAAACTCACTCTCACATGGGATACCGTGACGATGTGAACCAAGGAATGCTTACGGAGTGTAGCTGAGTTTAAATAGTTTGTCTGCCAAATACATAAATAATACAGTGATTGTACAGGTACTTGATGGAGGTGCCAAAGAGAAACAAAATACACACACATACACAAACACACACACACACAAACACACACCCCATAAGGTGTTGTTTCCATGATCATAGCACATGCACAATAGCCCTTTTAAAAAATACCAATTTCAAAAGCTCTTGAGTCTAAAAACGAAAACAAAACCAAAACACCCAACCAAATACCACCTGATGAAAAGCGTAAATTTCTCTTTTCACTGCTTTGGCAGAAGGAAAAAACAAAAATCCAAAAACAACTCAATGGGGCCCTTTTAATTTTCATGCAATCATGAGCCATCAGGTATCATGTTTTGGCAGTTGGTGTTATTTGGCAGACAGTTCCACTGGGCCGCTGTTGAACACTCGGGTTCAATGGAGCTATTTTATAGCCAGGGATCTTATCAACGGCACTGAAACGGGATGAGGCCATCAGGGGGCCCCTCTCGTGGATTTGACCTGGTTGGTGTCACCACTCTGTGCTGCCATCACTGGGGACGGTTCTGTTGGGAATAATGAAGTTTCCTCATAGTTTTCACTTCATGGTAGAAAAACCTTAAGCTCTTCCCTAGGCCCATCCCCCTACCTTCCCTAATTGTCTTTTTTTTTTTTAATCAACTTGCTATTCATTTCCCAAACAAAAGGCAATTCAAGAATTGGAAGCACTTCAAGGGAAAGTTTCTGAATGACCTCATTTTATATGAGGCCTTCCAAGGCAATCGGGTGCACTGTGCTGTTTCAGCAAGCCGCTTCCCCCCTCACGCCTCATCTCAAACTGAGTTTTCTCTAATGGTCATTGTTTGAGCACTGAATTATCACTGGCATTAAAAAAAAAAAAACACACCACAAAACTCTCAATAGAAACAGCGTGCTAATAAAATGCATAGAGTACACACTAAGAGAACTAGAAGAATCCTATCCCTATCACCCCACTCAATCAATGAACCAGAATATAGTCCTTTGATTATAGAGCTTTCAACATTTTGGCACAAAGTTTATAACCATATCTTACAGACAGGTGCTTGATATATGGGGATTAGTGTTTACAAGCAAACAATTTTTTCCCCTACAGACAACCTTGTATATTTTATGACAAGTTTCCATTTTTTAATGGTTCCTATACACAATGTCACACCTTGCAATCTCTTTAAAAGCAGAAGACTATCAGCTCTGTTATCAGAGATGTATCAGTACTGTTCCATCTACTCAAAAAGCCTCCTTCACAAAAGGGTCTCCCCTCTCCCCAACTTCTGGCTCACCATTGCAAACTGGAATCCAAAACATCTTTCCCCTATCACATTTTCAAATTCAAATTTTATTAACATAGCTGTTTCGGCTTAAAAAAAAAAAAAGCCTAATGTGCTCAGAGCCACTTGGAGCAAGAAATACAGGCCCTACAAGGGGATTTCCTATCATTTCTAGCCAATAAATTTGAAATCCACATGAATTTTAAGTACCTGAGAGAGTATCTGACTTTGTGGCCATGTGTTCTTGGCTTACTCCAGTTTCATTAGCAACTTGCAAAAATAAACAATGGTGTTTTTGATCTGCTTAAAAAAACCCAAACAGATCCTTAAGTGATACATATAAATATCTTTTCTTCATCCCATAAAGGTATCCCTTAAAAAATACTTATATGGCTAATTATAAATTTAAAATGATCACTTTATTATTCACCAACCCCCCCCCACCCACTCCTATTTTCAATTGAAAGCTTCTGGAATGGTGACTCTGTCACATTCCTAAAATGACTTAAGTAAAATTAAATGCCAATAAAGATGAAGTAGTTATTAAAGTCTTATTTTACATTTCTACAGGAATTTTAGTCACTCTCCCTTGAGAACAGCTGCTACTAGCTTTCTGCAATCTTGTGTTTTTCGGAATCTGTTTTTAATAGAGCAAAAATACATAATGGTGAATTTATCTTCCTTCTGAAGAGGCCCTCAAAATGAAGATGGTTCTTTGTATACATACCTTCGTGCTCCGAAATGAGAGGCCCCTCTTGAGTTTCCAGAAGCTTCCATTCCAAGGGGATGAAATGCTAACACCGTGGGTCTCTCAGACGCAGAGCCCAACCAGCCCATCACTTCCCTCCCCACCTTGCCCTTTCCCTTGCCTTTCTCCATGATACCGCCGCTGCCTCCTTTTTGTCCCCCCTCTTAGCTTTCTCTCTCAGATGGCAGCCAGGCAATGCCAGAAGCCTCCCCCCACAGCTGTGTCTGAGGAGGCAGGTGACTACCAACGTGAAGGGAGTTGCGGTTGGTTGCTTATCTGTAGGAGAAATCAAGTTTGCCTCGCCTTGACCAAAGCTGGTTTCTGAACTGGGAACAGCTGTCTCTGGGGTGAGCCGTGGGATTCCTTTCCAGACATTACCAGAGGGTGGGAGGGGGAGGATGCAAGTCTGTGTCCCATGAAGTGAGGACACAGAACACGAACATGGGGAAGAATGGAGAAACGGTGGCCAGAGGAAAAAGGTCTAGTGTGGTGGTTTGCACACGAAGGCACTCAGTGAAAACCTCTGAAGGAATGTTCCAGTGGCCTCTTGAAGATCCCGAGAA